ACTAGTTTTACTGTAATTCCCTCGAGTCGATCATTATTTAATTCTTTAATTTCGTGATACCAGCTTTGATTTAATTCGAAAACTTCTTTAATTTCTGTTCAAGTATGACGGAAGTTCGAAGAAATATACCTCCTTTTAACTGTTACTCTAGTTGATATGTATGAAAAATTGAATCATCATAAGATTGAACATTCTGCCTTCTTTGTGTCTATGGTTGCTCTTAGCTTCTTTGTTGTTTCCGACTCTGTAGTATTTTTCCTCTTTTGTGGATGCATATTTTTCTCTGTAGCAACGGAAATTTTCTTTAAGACGAAATTGGAATAAAGCTTTTCAAGAAAACAGTCATATACAGTATATACGCAAAATAGGCTGGTCGCGTCACCATTCACGTGATCATACTAAGACGTGTCAAATATTCATTAAAACAGACGCGACGCGTATCCTTTCAAATTTTCGCGTGCATGACGATGTCAGTCAGTCCAAATCATATTGAAAAGGTAACAAAAATGCAACGAAACAAATGTCCCACGATGATTCTATCCTGCGGCGTGCATTGATTAAGGTCCACTGTGTTATCGTTTCACATGTCTACCATTAGATGCTACCCTAAGGCTAGACGATGCGGCACTTGCCCATTATGATCAAATGAACAAAATATAATACGGCCCAGAATACATATGGGAAGAATAATTGCACATAATTAGTAACTGTAACCTTATTACTTCAAAATAAAAAATCAATTTTAGCATAATAATCAGAATTTGACCATGCAAATATAAGAATAATAATATATTATTTATAAGTAGGCAATTAGCAGATATATCTTTTTTTTTTTTTTTTTTGAAGTGTAAGGGAATATGGATAACCCTTTTATAATTGCATTATATGTAACCTACTATACAAAAAATGTTCTCTATTTAAATTACAAAATTAAGTAATCCAATCAATTTACCAACTTTTTTACATGCAAGACAATAAGAATTTAATCACTAATCTCTAATAGTTCAATTAAATATCCCTGGAGTAAACGTCTTTGATCAGCATTCGACTCTAGCATTGTTTTTCTAAATTGTTTCTTTAATGTGGGATCTTTTTGTTCTAATACTTCTAATATTTGAGTTTTGGGTAATCGTAATAAAAATTTAAAATCATTTGGTTGTATCTAAATAAACAAAATAAATTATCAATGTATGAGCCGTGATTCCTGAATCTTATAAAATATGTTACTTACCTTGAGACAATATTCAGTACAATATAATATAAATCCTTTACGCAGCATTTCATTTTGCCAAATATGATTAATATGTCGTAGCAACAATTCATTTACAACGCTCGATAAATTTTTATATGTTCTAACACTTAATGTCACCTAAAAGAAATCAAAATCATAAATGAAATGAAGTTAATCTTTAAATAATTATGCGCTATAAATTAATACTTACCGTCCTCATAAAAGATGGTGGCAACTCGGATTGCACAGATAGATGTTGTAGCACAGCACCCAGTATTTGTGAAGTATATATATTGTTTAATTTGAAACACACATGAATTGCTATAAGGAAAAAAATTTTTTTTTTTTAAAAAAGAAAGAAATTAAATGTTTATATTGAAACTTATCATAATAAAAGTTACCTTCAACAGAGTGTTTTAATGGAACTTCGTGTGGTTTTAATTGATGCAAAAAAATTAATAAGTCCATTGGCTTTAATGGTGTTGGAGTTTTCGCTGAAACTGTTAAAATTTTCATGAAAACTTTTTTTACAATTTCTCTTTGTTTTTCAGTAGCATCAAGCGTAACAATGACTTTAGGAAGATGACGTAGTATTTCTTCCTAAAAAAAAAAAAAAAAAAAAAAAAAAAATCACATTAATATTTCTACAAATTCATTAATTTTGAAAGGAATATATCTTTTATTATTAATGTACCTTATCAAAATACGCAATGATCGGGAATAAAAATCTTCCATCTAAATTTCTCTGTACAATCACGGTTTTGGCGGTATTTATTAATTGGGTTGGTGGTTGCACTTTATCATATAGAAATTATTAATATAATTGATAAGAATAAATAAACATAAAAATTAACATTAATAATTACCCATCCTATTTGTATACACAATTAACAATCTTAATACAAAATCTTCTGCTCCGCTTGGGAAAGTTTGGAATAACTCTAATAATCCAGCCAACCCGATTGTATCAATCATTTTTTGTGAATAATTACGAATCATCTTTTGAATTGAATCTGACGATTGGATGTAAACCGAAACCAACCTTAAAATTGATTATCGTTAGAGATCTTAAGGTATAAAATTAAACAAATATATGTATATATATATATTTTTTTCTTATACATACTCTTCGAATAATTGTCTTTTCTTTGCACACAAAGAAAGAAAAAAATCAAGATGACGTTCCACATCTACTTGCGTCCATTTCCTTTCCTCCTCTTTCATGTCATCTTTTGTTATATTTGTGGTCTCACTAAAATGGTAATGATAATGAAAGTCATATGTTGGAGGTGGCACTTCCTGTGTGAGCTGTTTCAATGACTGTAATGCGAAAGATTCAACCTCACTACTGACCACTGGATGATCAGGAAACCATTTATTAGCTTTGGTAATAGCCGAATTTCTCAACCGTTCCCCTGCAATTAAGTAAAAACAAAAATTAATGTCGGTTTTCAAATATATGATCATATGCGTGTGCCCAATATATCCTAACCTTTGTGCAAACAATATGCCAACAAAATTTTTAAACAAAATGGTCTTGCTGGTGGTCTAAGTTCAATTAATTCACTTAAAGTAGCGAATCCAAGTGAACTCCTAAACACAAATAAAGTATAAAGTATTCAATTTAGATGAAAAATTATATAAATATATATATTATTTTTTTTAAAAAAAAAAATGCACCTATCAGGATCGTTACAAAAGATTTTTATTCGATCCACAGCATCTTCAAATAACTCAGGAACATCCAGTAGAAATTGCGTAAATATATGATCTTCAAGAGCTGGCATGATTCTGTCTAACAATTTGCATAACCAAATTGAGTAGTTTGGTTGCTAAAGAATTTTTAATCAGAAAAAATAAAAAAAATCATTATCAATTATCGTAAAGTGTATTATAAACGAATCAGCTTTATATATCTTACATATGAAGGATCTTTACGTAACATAATAGAATCATGATACCATTCTTCATCTAACCACGTTAAAGCAAATTCTGTTCTGTTATAAAAAAAAAAAAATTTTGAATTATCTGTGAATGCCTTTCCTTTCTCTTTTTTTTTAAAAAAAAAAAAATATAATAATAAATTTCATAAACATAAACCTATTCTTGAAATCTTTAAGTATAAATTGAACAATCATTTCTCTCAAGTCATCAAATTGTTTGTGACCATTCTCATAATAAGTTTCAAGGCCTCGAGTTAAGAACCTTGAAGCCATTATGTGTAATTGTGATTTTGTTAGTCTTTTACCATTAGACAAAGTTGTTAGAACTACATTCGAACGTTTGTCTTTCACATCAGCAGATAATGCAGCTTCAACGTCCAAAATATTTTTAAAAGCATTTTTTATAAAAGAAATAGAATGTTCTTGGGACAAGGTTTCGGGAGGTGGAAGAGCGTAAGGTTGAAATTTGAAAGTAGGAACAGGCAATGTTTGTGGTTCTGGTGTTGATTCGACTTCAGGTGGAGTTGGAGTTATTTCTTCCATCATATCTGGTTTTGGTAGATCTACGACAACATCATCACTATAAACGTCCTCTTCAAATGGAGGAGGTATAGGTTCGATTTTAGTTTTATCTACTTCCATTTCCATTGACAAATCAGAATCTGATTCTACCGAAGGTGGAGTTGGTGAATTAGGAACTATTCCTTGAACTATCTCATCTAACACCTTTTCCAACCTGTCCTTTTCATCAACCATCATTCTTTCTTTCTCCTCCGCTGCCTCCGCATCCTCATCCGCATCCTCATCCTCATCCTTTTCCTCATCCTTCTTCTCCTCCTCCTCTATCACCATCTCTTCATCTGTAAATTCTTCTAAACGTGGATCACGTGGCTTTTGATCACGAATTTTTGATGTTTCATGTTGCGAGGTCGATGTTGTTACTTGTCTTGTATTTCGCTCTTGTATTGCCTGATAGCATTGAAATGAAACAAAAAGTTAAAATCTTTCTATAAAAATTTCTAAATAATAATTTATTTTACATAGTATTATCACGTTCTTAAATGGTAATGTTGTATGTAAAAATAGCTTTTCGAGAAATGTTTGGAAATAATTATAAAATTCTGCTTAATGTTATAATACTTTTATTTTAAAATGGTAAGTTAATGGTGGCTTATACAGTCAAAACCTAATAGATATCATTCAATTAACAGTAAAAGGAATTATAACGAACCATTTCATTTGAAATCTAATAATTATATGCTGATTTTCAATTATTCCTATTAAAATAGAAGTTTCCACTTATCAAGCTTTGACTGTATATTCCTAGATAACCAAAATAAAAATTCAATAATAAAAATAGTAATATTCTATAAACCTTTTTCGTTTGATTCAATCTCTCTTGCGGAATTGTTTTCAAAACCAAACAAATGACTTCCACGACAAAAGGTAGAGCAAATTGTGATGGATCAAACTTTTATCGAAAGTAAATTATTGTTAGAAAAAGAAATATTATATTGTTAAATTCAAATAATCGATTTTTTGATAATAACTTACACTAATATTCGATTGTTGTTGGATCGGAAACCTTTGTGCAACCCCACGACCATTTTCCTCCATAGCTTCTCTTTGTTGTAAATTCCTACGAAATTGTCTTGGAAATTTCGAGGGATCGTTCTTGCCTCCTAACACAATTATAGCATTAAATATTTCCATAGCGAAAAGCGCATTTTCATGTATTCTGTTTAAATTGTAAATTAAAATCAATAAATCATTCTTAATACGTCAATATATACAACATTAATTTTCGAGTAAATTAATCACCTTAATAATGCCATCATTTGTACCTTCATCGATCTTTTAACACTTTTTATCTGAAACTCGCTTAAACGCAAATTTTTTTCCGGGATTTTTGTCCATGATACCACATTGTTTACGAATGTTGAAACATACTGTGGTCTTGCTCTTAACAGAGGTCCAAATGCATTAATTATAGCCGTAATGACGCTGCTTGACCTATACCATAAGAAAAATACATTAATAAAATTATATTAAAAAATGACACGGATTCCTCTTTGATCTATACTAACTCGGTTCGCGTCATCATCATCAATCCATTAACAATTGACACTGATTCTTTTTCAAGGTATTGTAAATCCAATACGGGATGTAAAGGTTGACAATTAGACAAAGAAAAGTCTTCTTCGGGTCTAGGCTAATCAAATTGAATAAATAATCTGAAGATTAATATTATTTCTCTACTACGATTAATCAAATATTTAAAATTACCAATGAATCCGGCATTCGACGAGATTGAACTTTTGCGACAGTTGCAAAGTACTTGACAGCACAAATTCGAATGCCTTGATTCGTATTTTCCGAATCAAAAAACCTCATAATTTGAGACTTGATTGATGATGAAGTTTTCCAAAGGGAAGCGGAATCTAATGTATTTTCAGCTCTTTAAAAAAAATAATTCAATAGAATAAATTTTTTGATCTGAAAATTAGTCAATTGAAATTTTTTTTTTTTTTCATGATTGTACTTAAAAAAAAAATATAATTAAAATATTTGCATCAAGTGAACTCACACTCTTTCAAATATTAATGGATAAATTGAAGAATTCCAAAGTATCGCTTTTTTAATTATGGCAGGAGAAGATTCGTAGTTGATAATATATCCTATGGAAGGTAATACTTTATCTAAACCTGATTTAATAATATACGTACAATATTTATTTCATAAAGATATTAAAGTTGTTAATTTATTATTATTATTTTTTTTCATTTACATAAAAAAAGTTCTTTATTTATTTAAAATTTGCTCGTTTCACCCCAAATTCTAAAGTAAAATATTTAAAAGAAATCTCTTTTTCTTTAAAAAAAAAAAAGAAAACTATCCCTATTACTACAGCTCAAATGTCTTTTTTTCAAAAGAAAAAAATAATAGTAGGTGTTTTGAAATAAAATTTCCAGTTGAAATCAAAAAAGTAACATACTATCTTTCCGTAATGTCCGTGATAATCCAATTTTCATAAAAGCAAACTCCATAAATTCTACGGTCCATTCTTTTATTTCATTTACAGAATCTCGTAAAAAACCACTAATTCTATATAATAAATCAGGATGTAATATATTAACTTGTTCTCCGACTAATTGTTTAAGAGAATTCAAAGCATCTAATCTTAGTTGTACTTCTTTTTGTCTATCTGTGGCTTGATCCAACAGATCCAAAAACACATAGACACGTTTGTCTTCGAAGCCGTAAGGGTTATTCATGATACGATGCCTAGAAATTGGCAAAGAATATGTTTGTGTAAATTCTTTTTTTTTGATCTACAGCTTTTTAACCATATGAAAGATCACATGATATAATTATCATCCCCGCAAATTTTTTCGGTTGTGAAACCTATTTGCATTGCGTGACATATTTTGACGGGTAAACACGCTAAATTTTATATGGTAAAATATTTTTAACTTTTTTAGCATATGAGAATATGATGAATTTCTGATCAAGTAATTAATGTTTATCATCATTTTCGGCCATATCACTTGCTTTTTTGTTTTTTTCTAAATTCTTCCTTGTAACCATCTCTTTCGAAATAAACAAAAAATACAAAAAAACAAACATGGTCAAGAAGAAACTTTTTATCGCAAGGAATACATCAAGAATTTTAAAATCTTATAAAAGATATAAACACCTCAAATCCATAGTACCTTTTTACTTTTGGTCGCTGAGGTACAAATAATTTTAAAATATTCATGACCTAATTTTAATTCTTATACTTCGAAGGCTAAAGAATTTTTAGTCGAAATTTACATCGTTCTAAATCCATCAAGCTAGATAAATTAAAAGACACTCGTCGAATTAAACCGTCTAAATCACCCTTACCGTCGTCACCGTCGCCTCGAAGAATAATTGCAATAGGCGACTTACATGGAGACTATGAACAAACAATTAAAGTCTTGAACTTGGCTAACATTATTGATGATAAGATAAAATGGAGCGGCGGAAATGGAATCTTAGTGCAAACGGTTATATCTCTTAAATTTCTAATAGATTTTTTTCTCGGATTTCAAATAAACTAATTTCCAATGAATTTTATAATTATTTACAGGGGGACATAGCGGATCGAGGTCCTGATTGTTTAAAAATTTATAAATTGTTTGAAAGGTTACACAAAGAGGCTAAATTAGCAGGAGGAATGGTAGAACGTCTTAATAAATATTTCGAATTATTCCAGCTAACAACCTGATGGATTTATGTTATGATTATTGTCTTATTATAGGTGATTAATCTTTTCGGTAATCATGAATTCATGAATCTTGAGCTAGATTGGGATCACGTAACAACCGAAGATATCGAATCTTTCGGATCACGAAAGAATCGGATTATTGAATTCTCTTCCGATGGGTTTATTGGAAAGTTCTTTGGATCCTCTTTACAAGTTGCCGCAATTGTTGAAGATACATTATTTGTTCATGGAGGCGTTAATTTAAAGTGGGCAAATGAAGGTATTGAAAAAATGAATCAACTTGGCGCGAGTTTAGTTAAGAAATATACAGAATGTTTATGTGATCCTGAGATGCAAGAAACAGGAAAATTTACCGAGAAGGATGATTTTATGACGAACGATGAGAGAGACCTTCTTGAAGGTGATGGGCCATTTTGGCACAGAGAATACATCAATCGCACTAAAGAGGTCGAAGAGGAATTGGATAAAGTCTTGGAAGTGTTAAAGGTTTGTTTTGTTTAAACAGATACTCGGAATGTTTCTTAATCAAATCATTAATAATAATAATAACTTCAACTTTTTTTTTTTTTTTTTTATTGATTTATAGGTTAAAAGGATGGTAGTTGGGCATACTGTTTGTATGAAGAATATCGTGTCAAATTTTAATGGAAAAGTGTATATTATTGATGTGGGGATTTCTAGTTTTTATGGCGGTCATTTAGCTGCGTTGGAGATCATAGGAGATAAAGTCAGAGAAATTTACCCTGAGGATACAAAGTATTTCGACTTTTGAAAAAAAAAAAAAAAAATTTGAATGGGTTTAAGAGTAAGGATGATTTGAAAAAAGAATAATTTTGTTTATTGCGTTTATTTTTACTTTTATAATAATGTATTGCTTATTTGGATTAAATTATCACTACAAAAATTGGGAAAAAACGATGCATATAAGGATTAGCTCTAGCGAATAAACTTGCATATTACATTCGTTTCCAAATTTTAGCATTATATTAATTGTTGTATATCGATATGATTAAATCATAAAAAGAATAATGGTTTGCATCAATATAACTGCAGTGAAACAACTATCCGCACTATTTATACACGAAATAATAAATTATTATATATTCTATAAATATAATTAAACTTTCATGTTATTTAAAGGTAACGCTTCCGACTATATATCTGATATAGGAAACGTGATTTAATCGTAAAAAAAAAAAGAATTAAATAATTTGCGTTTACCAAGTTGACAGATCATCTTGCTATGCTTTTCTTAAGACTAGCGAATTCAAATAAAATAAAACGTAGTCTTTTCTTTTTTCTTTTTTTTTAAAAAAAAAAACTTAAATCCATTGGGAATTAGAGCCGAAGGACAAAATTCGGGCGAAGTTTTAATATGTGTGTTCTTATATATTAAAAAAAAAGATCAACGAAAGAATGACCTTTCATTAGTGAACTTTGCGAAGGCATTTTTTACCGTTTTTACAGAATACACACAGCAATATGTGAATAAATATAATTAGGTGAATTACATACACCAAAAGATGTATAATAATAAATAAGTACATTTGGGCATTTAGACAAATAATATTCGTGCAAGTAATACATAATCCCCGTAAACCAATGCTTTCAATGCAAGTGCATATCTAGTCAAAGAATAATCTTGACAGACTCCTTTAGATCTTTTTTGTAATATATTGAAACATCGTTATCGTTTCGAAACGGGGGTTAGGTCAAGCGCAAATATTAAGCATTATAGTCACGCAAAAATACAAACATGCAAGAAGACCGAAATTGTAAGGGCGACCACGCAATTGTGAAGGATACATATTTGAGAATGCAATTCCGGCACAATACGAAAAAAAAAAAAGAATATGGCCCAAAGGAATAGGTTATTATCCTTGCGATAATCCCTTTACGCTCTTCTCTTCCTCAAACAATTTAAACTCTTCATAATAACTTTTCTTCCCCGTAAGGCGAGTGGATTCTTGCAATACATGCTATACCTTCGGGGTAGTAAACTAATTATCAAGAAAAATTAAATTTTAAATAACTACTTTATTTTTTTCCTCGCATGTTTGAAAATTCCCTTTCCCCTCCATTAATATACTTATTGGGTTCTTTATCTATTGATAATAGAAATTTATATAACTTAGACGAATATTGTCATAATGTGGCTAGCATTTCATGGCCATCTGAATTTCTCGTTTCCCAAATTTTGGACTTTGATATATACATTCGAAAGAATAAAATTACCGACTTCTCAAGGGATAAATGTATTTATGGAAGTGATTAGAAAAAAAAGTCGATAGTAATTGAAAAATTAACTTTTTAATAATACATTTATTCGTTTTTGTACTTAATTAAAGTTTATAACCTGCATTAATAAACGAAAATGGCAAGACTTTCAATTAGATGATGTATGGTGATCGATTATCTCTAGCTAAAAAATAGAATCATTGATATTTGATGACAAGTTAGTTGAATATAATAATAATAATAATAATAAAGTAATAAAGCTACCTCATATAATTTGCTCTAGCTTGTCGCCTGATTTGCTTCTCATATTCTACCTTATCTTTTCTGCATATGAGTAATACTTAGCAAAGGTAATCATGATGATAAGAAACACCAAAAAAATTATTTGATAAATTACATGAATAATTCATAAGCTTTTGCTTGAGCGGGACTTGCTGGGTTTGGTTCATTCAAGAGTTGTTGAATACCAAGTACGATCTAAAATTAATTAATCAATTAAATTTACATTGTAAAAAGATCTTATTTGATAAAAAAAAAATTTTTACCTGCTTAACGGTAATACAAGGTTTCCAACCTTCTTCCTCGTTTAAAATCGATAGACAAACTGTTCCAGAAGGATAAATGTTGGGATGGAATAAAGGTGGGCTAAACTTACCTAGAAAAAAAAATATTAAAGGAAATTTGTTCAAAATGATCATTCAATCTCTGATCTTAATCTTAAATCCGTACATTTAGGGGGTTTTATGGGATAATCTAAACAAAATAAATAGATCAATAAAACGTAATTATACATGATAAAATGATTTAAAAATGATTTACCTTCGGAAAATGAGATCGTAAGTTTATAAAGTCCATATTCCCAAGGGGTCTAAATCATTTATTTCAAAACTTCACTAAAAAGAACAGTGGTTTCGACGATCATCTTTTAAAAAACACTTACACCTTTTACACCAGGTATTCCAACGTCCCAAACACGTATATTTAAAGAACCATCAATATTCTTTTGAGGTCGAGCATAAAATCCCTAAACACGTATGATTTGTTGAATTTAAGGTCAGGTCGTCACAAACCAAACAAAAACAACTTACATAAGGATGATCTTTTCTCCATAGTCTACGTTCTTCCATCAACCTAGACGTCAAAATACCATTTGACATTTTTGCATCAAAATCGCGCTTAAAAATTCTCTTAACGTTTTTTTTTTTTTTTTTGTTTTTGTAAAACGGAAAATATTCGAGAAAGAAAGATCGATTTATGATTTGTTACAACCACCAACACCAACTGCGGATAAATAAATCGGTTTCTTACGTTATTTGTGCGACTTCAATGATGTAACACAACATCATGTTTTTTTTTGATCATTTATTTACTTATTTATTTATATATTCCTTACAGCAATTAGGATTTTTAAGGAATTTTATCCAATTTCTTGACCAATTCGAAGGACAATGGTTAATAAAAATCTGTTTAATGAGAAACACTTCGAGACGATTAAAGCTTATAAAGGAGGCAACTTTTAAATTACTTACTAATCTAAAAGTTATTAAATCTTACTCTTACATATCGTATTGATTTGGTGTGAAAAAAGGACGACGAGCGAAAAAAAGAAATGCAGATCCTATTTGCGGCTATTTTCTGATGGCAATCAAAAAAAAACCTGAAGTAATGTTTATGTTTATTTGTATAAACTGTTTCACATGTTGATTGTAAATCACAAACATTTATAGATATCAAGTTCATCTTTACATAAATATCAATTTCTTTCCTTTTTTTTCCTGTTATCTTTCAAAAAAAAAAAAAAAAAAAAAAAAAAATACAAATGTTGTCTAAAATTGTGCAAAATCTTTTTAATAATGTTAGTAAATATCTTAAAGAAGAACCACATTCAACAAATCCAAATTATGATGTTATTTTACATATTGGGGAGGGTCCCAATTATAAAAAGTTTTATGCACATTCTGTCACCTTGAAAACAAGTTGTACATATTTCGAAAGTGCTTTGTCAGGTAGGTGGCTTAGGAAGGAAGATAATTATTTCATTTTAAATAAACCAAACATTTCTCCCGAAGTCTTTGAAATCATCCTCAAGTAAGTCAGTCTTCTTTGATCAAAAAAGTTATATATAATATTTTATGAAAATAACATTTTTTTTTTTTTTTTTTTTTCCTCCTCAGGTTCATATATACAGAAACACTTCCAAGAGATAAATCAATCCCTCCACCTTTACTTTTTGATTTACTTATAGCGGCCGATGAACTTTGTCTTGGTAGATTGATTGATCATACGCAAAAACAACTTTGTGATTCCTTGGATTGTATCAATTTTTTCCTTGACAATTTAGTCGGGATTTATAACCTTACAACACAATTTCCACATTTTCAAATCCTCCAAAGACATTTTACCATGTTAATTGAAAATCATCCAACGGAAATATTTAATTCCCATTATTTTCTTGAACTACCCGAAGAGATTCTCTTGTCATGCTTAAGAAATGATAATTTACATCTTTATGAAATTGAGATTTGGGAAAAAGTTTTAGAATGGGGGATTAATCAAATTCCAAGAAAGTTAAACAGGTTTAAGGTGGAAGATTGGGAGGTTGAAGATTTTATCGAACTTGAAATGAAATTAAAGAAATGCATTCCATTGATAAGATTTTATCACATTAAATCGGGAATTTTGTATAATGATGTCATTCCTTTTCAACCGATTATACCAGGTTTGTTAGAAATATATATATATACATATATAACGATTTCTTTTTAAATTATTAATAATTTTTTTGTTTTATTTCTTATTTTTACAGATTCGATCTTTAATAACATTTTAAAATTTCATCTAACAAATGACATATTACCATTGCCTATTGAAATATCTAATGTTAGATGTCCAGAATTATATGATAATAAAGCAACCTTATCAAATACATTAAAACTTTTAGATAGTATTGATAAATATTTTGGATATTTCTGGTCAAGAATTTATGCAAGGAAACTTCATGGTTCAATTGAATTTTGTTTGTTATTTATTATTTGTATGTCATTTCTTTTGGTTGCTATAATTGCAATCCACATATTTATGTGGTTGATTATATTATTCACCATAAAACTAACGATTAGAAAATTTATTGATTACATGAACGTTGAAAATAGAGCTTTTTTATTTTATGTGTAAGAATATTTTTTTTTATAATAAAAAGTATTTGAACTATTTCTACTATTTCTGAATAATTGAATCAATATTTTGTTAAAAAAAAAAAAAAAAAAAAATAAATAAATAAATAAACGGGATCTCATTGTGATTGTTACACGATCTTCCTGTATAAAAAATCTCGGAATTTTTTGTTTGTTTTCGTAAATCTAACATTTTTCTCAAAAAAAAAAAAAATCGTTTAAATTATCAAATATCACAAAGAATGGCGAACAATGGTACGGGAATAATCTATCATTCGTTCGTTAATATACGTTTGATTTTTTTTTTCTCCTTTTAGAAATGTGGTGTTTTATGCCATATAAATATTTTCAAAAAAATAGTTCCACGATACTTGGAAGGTGTCACCAAACTTACATACATACCAGGTCACGATGGGGATAATTACGTGAAATTTGATGATTTGATTCAAAAGGTGACTGATTATCGAATTTAATTTATTTGTTCTCGCCTAAGGTTCATTATTATTTTTATTAATAAAAATTTTAAATAATTTGATTTATTTGAAAAGTCAATACTTAAACAAGCCTTTCTCAGTTCGATGATTGTTGATTTCGCATGGTTATCCTCAAAGTTACCTAATAATCGGCAAATTGTTTTGGCCAAAGACTGGAGAAAGGAAGATAATGAATCGGTGAAGAATTTTTTGATGCATATACATATATTTATCTTTTCTTAAAAAATATTAATATTTTTTTTTTTTTTTTTTTGAATTATTAAAGCAAGGATTGAATGGTATCCCAAATACAAAGTATTTGATCGTTCATGCGCCTAAGGCTGAAAATGGATTCGGATGTTTTCATGCGAAATTAATGTTATTGTTTTTCGATAAATGGATGAGAGTTGTCATTTCATCCGGGAATTTGGTTCCTCAAGACTGGGAACTTTGTGAAAATGGGGTCTTTATTCAAGATTTTCTTGTTCGTGATAAGTCTAAAGAATTTAACGGTCTACAAGGATTTGCTAGAGATATTAATGATTTCTTGGTATCCATGGGACTTAAAACGCATATCGTTAATCTTCTTCCAGAATACGATTACTCAAAGTCAAAGGTAAATCCTTGATCAACAAATGTAAAAAGTTGAATTATTTTAAAAACCTTTTTAATGAATTATTTTGCAAAAAAAAAAAAGGCAACTCTCATTCCTTCAATTCCTGGTATTCATAAAGGAATGGAAAATATCAAAAGGTTTGGGCATGGACGCATATGTAAGGCAGTTAAAGAATTATGCGGAAGTCGTGAAGATGTTCAATTAGAATTTCAAGTATGTTTTTCTTCATTCATTACTTCTTTACTAATGCTCATCACATCTGATCAATTAAAAATTCATAAAAAAAAAAAAACGCTCTCAAGAGTTCTTCGATCGGCAGTCTTAATAAACAATACTTGGTTGAATTTTACCAATCCGCAAGGGGATTGGATCCTGTTTCAGCTCTAAGCCGTCCTCGACCAAAAAAAGGAGAAGTTGATCCTTTGCCTCCAATTACCGTAGTATATCCTTCTAGTAAAGTTGTTTACGAGTCAAAATATGAATATTCGGTATATATTATCAGTTGTTATGGTTTTTTTTTCTTGGCACATTCTCTCAAATGTAAAAAAAAAAAAAAATCATTTCTCATGAAAATATAGGCGAAACTTGCAATCGCGTCGACAATATGCCTTTCCGAAAAAGCATACAACAAAGATACATTCCCCAAAGAAGTTTTAAGGTTATTTAAAAAAAAAGATTTTTTTTTTTTTTTTTTTTTTTTTTTTGATGTTTTCCAATTATTTTATTCAATTTATTGTTAATTTTCAGAAATTGCATTTCTAAACGGGATGGAAAGTTGATGCATTCAAAGGTAAAACAAACTTACTTTTTAGTAACGAGATTATGTCGCATCATGTATGATTTTTGACTGGAGAGATTTATCACAGTTTGCATTGGCTCAATTTCGGGAAAAACCTAATGACATGCCATTAAATGTTGAGTCACAAGAGAATGCAGGAGGATGGTATTATTGCGGGTATGCACTTTGATACGATCTGATTAAGAACGCTTTTATAAACTGTTGTTATAATGTTATACCTCTTTTTCGGTACAGGAGTCATAATTTTTCCGAATCGGCTTGGTAAGAAAGAATTTGCGTCGCATTAAATATAGCGATTATACCAGAATTTTTAAGAAAGAAATATTTTTTTTTCTCGTTGATGAAACGAATTATTAGGGGAAAAGTTACCACGTCGCGAGAAACAAAGGAATTGCAAATAAGAATTAATAATTGGGAGTTGGGCGTTTTCTTTCCAATTTACAGAAAAGAACAGGAGTATCTTCCAAATCAAGATTACGACAAGAAAGATTGGTTTAATGAACATTCTGTTCCCGTGCCTTATATTAGACCGCCACCTCGCTATGCAGGAAATGAAACGCCAAAGGTAACTTTATAGTATCATTATTAATACTTTTTATATATTTGATATTCGATCACTTAAATTTATTTCGGTTGATTATTTTTTTTTTTTTTTTTTGTCAATGTTAAAGGTAGATCAATAAAGAGGAAACCTTTTGATAGGTTTTTTCTTCTTGTAATGAATGTCCTTTTTTCATGTGCAACTTCTTTTTAATAAACGAATTACAATGTGGTTAGCAAGCCATTTTACTCAATAATGAATGGTTAAATAAATGATTTAGGGGTAAAAATAAATCGTTATAGACATTTTTAAGAGTCGATAGAAATTTCCCTTGACGTTTATCATTTTCGACACGCTCACGAAATGTTGCAAAAGGATATCGAATACGCAATAGTCTTTGCATTCGATATTTACTTAATAATAAATGAATAATATCGTTCTTTTATGTTAAAACGTACTATATCTAACGTATTTTTCACCTTGGACATTTTCCAAGACAAATAATTTGTAAATGCGGGCGCATATAATGTGACAACCGAAATCAGCACGTGTCACTAATCTAAATTTTCAACAAATACCCCTTTTCCTAACTTGGTTTTTTGTATCTCCAAATGCGTTAATGTCCGAAGAGAGCATTTAGATATCCCAAATGCGAAGATCGTTTGGGGATATTCGTTTGCCAAATGATCATTTCGGCATTTCGGACAATGTCCCAAATGATCATTTCGGATATCCCAAATGCGCATTTCGGACAATGTCCCAAATGAACACTTCGGATATCTCAAACGACCAGTCCCGAATGACCATTTCAGTATGTCCCAAATGACTACTTCACGATTTAATTTAATTTTATAATTAATCTTTGCATGTGAAAATATAAAATGCATAAGATTATTAATTATATCATTGTTGTAAGAGGGCTTCAAGAATACAAAAATTATCTGAAGTCAAAATTTCTGTTCTGATATAAAATTTATGTATAATTTTTTTTTTTGTGAAACACATTCAGATCAATCGTGCTGTAATTCGTCTCCAACGTGTGCCATCACTTCATTTGAAATACCAGAGGGTCCAGCAGCTTTACATTGCCCGAAACGTTCATTTGGGATATCCCAAATGATCATTTGGATCAAAATCCCAAACGATCTTCGCATTTGGGATATCTTCACGCGTAAATTCATGACGTTTTATTGTAGTTAAAATTAAAATTTATTTGTATAATTGGATTTGTAAATAAATTAAATAAATAGATAAAAAAAAAAAAAAATAATAATATTAATCTAAATCTATAATAATAAAACTAAGATCAACTTGTTTTTTTGATAATTTCTTCAGACATAAATTTCTTTGTTTGTGAATAAGATAAATATGATATTAAATCGGGAAAAACACCTTCCATTAATCTACCCAATTTACCAGTAGCTGTAAAAACTATTTCTTTTTTACCTTGAACCGTTCCATCAACGATGATTTTAGCGCATTCGTCAGAAGGCATTGCATTACTAAAATCGAGTGCTTTTGGATTGTCTCCCAATCGATTCTTATTAATATCAGTCTTTACGACACCCTAAATATGAAATGATTTTTTTTTTAAAAAAAAAAAAAAGAAAAACGAAAAAGAAAAAAAAATAAATAAATAAATTTTTTAAAAAAATTTACCGGATAAACCATTGTAATGAAGATATTGTCATCAATAAGCTCATTTTGTAAACTTTCAAAGAAACCTCTTAAAGCAAATTTAGAACCCGCATAACCTGTTCTGAAGGGAACGGGAATAATTCCGGCGAGAGAGGAATTAACAACTATACGAGGTTTTTCAGCATTTTTCAGTAGAGGTAACGAATTAAAAGCAAGCATTGTAGCACCAAAATAATTCACATCCATAATCGTTTTAATTAATTCAAAGTCTTCAACACTTTCCAAGGTTTCACCCATCGATACGCCGGCATTAAGTACGAGACAATCAATCTTATTATGAGACGCTTCAAGGCTTGCGACAAAACGCATTACATCTGTTTCACTTGTTACATCAACTTTTTGAATTGTTACATTTTTTGCACCACATGTTTCTTTACATTCTTTTGCTACTTTTGCCAATGAATCAACTTTACGTCCGCAAAGAATTAAGTTTGCATCTTGTCGAGCAAACTCATAAGCAAGTGCTTCTCCAATCCCACTTGAAGCTCCTGTTATTACGACAACTTTGTCTTGAATTGACCATGGTGTAGCCGCTTTATAACGTTTATAACGGAAATAAAAATTTGCGACATATAAAATTGGAACGAGTAGCATGAAACCAATAAACACTAAAGTTTCAGTAAAATATGCTGTAACTAATAAAGCGAGTGAGGTAAATGTTAAAAAAGTCATGACCATAATTTCTTTCGTTAAAAAAAGGAAAAAAAATTTTTTTTTTTTTTATCATATTTTCAAATTTACGAATTTACGAAATCTTTTTATATATTTTATGAATACTTTTTATGAGTACTCATGACATGTGAAGATTTACAAGTCATGATGATCTGCAAATTTTCTGTGAAATAAAAATTAAAAATTAAAAATTAAAAATATTTTCTAAAACCATCATCATCTAGCACAAAACCAAAATCTTTTGAATCCACGTTCTCGATCATATTTATAAAGGATGGTAAATTATTTACAGATTCTATCAAATAAACAAAAAAAAAGATAAAAAAATTATAATAATAAAAATATGTCAAATACATAATGTTAATATCTTGCGATTCTAAAAAGTTATGACTTACCTGAAGTAGAGATGGGTGAATAAATAGGAGGAGAAGCATACCAAGTTCCATCCTTTTTAATCTATAAAGAATGAAATTTCATGAAAAAAATCTTTTTCAAGAATAAAAAAAACTGTAACTTCACTTACCATATGACTTCTATCTGATGCAAAAATTTTTAGATAGGTTTCAGCAGGAATTATACGATATTTTCTAGAAAATCCAATAAAACATCTGGATATGAAATTTTTTTTCCCCTCTTTTTTTTTTAAAAAAAAAAAAATAAATCTACCTATAATATTGTGGATCATCAAGTGTTTTAAAAGATTCTTGCACATAAATTGAGAAATCGCATGGGAAAGAAAGTGTTGTGTCAAGATCATAAACTCTTAAAAATCCAATAAAGAATTTATAATTAATGAATAGAATGAATAAGAAAAACGTTTTTGGGAAATTACTTTGTTGAATTTGACATTTCTTTTACTAGCAATATCACATGATAATCCTAAAGATGATTATTATAAATCAATCAAAGTTTAAAGTTACGAATCAAAATTTATAACAAATAAAATTTACCCAAATTACAATTCCATCAGGAAATTTTGAAGCACGTTGTTTCCATATTGGAATCTAAAAAAGGATCACATTTAAAATTAAATAAATTAAAAAAAAAATCAATTTTTTTTTATAACTTACCGAGCGATTTTCATTAGAAATGAAACAAACATAAACGTCATCTAATTTGCCAAATGCTTTACACAAATGATACACGTTCTCTTCACAATAACAAGGTGTATAAATTAATTTTTCGTTAGAAAAATCGGACATCTTGAGTTACAAAAAAAAAAAATAAAATAAATATATATATATATAAAAAAACAAAAACATCAGAATTTACGTCCTTTTTATTGCTAATTTGTCATGTCGTATCACAATAGGACATTGTATAAACAGGGAACGGTTACACGATTTCATTCATTTCCCAAAAACATATTAATCTGTTATCTGAAGTAACTATTTATCAAATTAAGTTAATTATTTTTTTTTATATAATGAATAATTTTAATTAAAATACATAATTATATAATTTTTTTTTTTTTAAAAAAAAAAAATACTTAAAGAAAATAAATACTTGATTTTATATTAATTAATATGATTTATTTATTATTTTAATTTAATTAATATATTCAATATAATAAATATATGATTTTTAACTAACTTATTATATAAATTAATTATTTTTATAAATAATAAAAATAAAACTTTTTTATAATCTAATTATATTTAATTATAAAACTAATTAATTTTAAAAAAATTTATTTTTTATAATTTAAATATTTTATTATTATAAAATTATTAATGAAAATAAAAATTTTAGAAATTTAATAAATTAATTAGATTAATCATTTATTTTAATAAAATTATAATTTTATAATTTTATTTAATAAAATAATTTTTATAATTAGAAATTATAAAAAATAAAATTTTTTTTAAAATATTAAAAAATATATAAAAAAAATTAATAAATTTTTTTTTTTTTTTTTTACGTGCGGTAGCTTTGCACAAACTTTATTTAAGAGTAAAGTAAAGTATTATAACATTACAAATTACAAGATAGAGAGTACAAAAATTTCTATTTAACAATAAAGCCAAATCAAAATCAACCTTGCACCGTTCCAGACTAACCTACCCAAATAAATTTAGAATAGGATCAACTATCTAGTATAGGGGGCGTGGTTGCTACCGATCTAAAAATTCAACCAGTTCATACCAAATCTAAAGGAGAAAATAAAGTATGGAGGGATACTAAAATTATGTAGAGGTGATGAAGGAAAGCTAGTGGTAGTGAAATGCAATTTCGATCATTGAATAAGATGTTGTTAAAGTCTTCAAAATTTTTGATATCATTGCAACGATCAATCCAAATGGATTTTATTTGGGAAAATGTATGATGGTAAGTAGAAGATAAGAGACCGTTTGTTAAATGGAGGTTATTAATAAGGCAGTATATTTTGATAAATAGGAAAAGAGGTATGATTCCTTTGATCAGATCAATGAAGTTAAAAGAGTCAGGTTGGTCATTTAAGGACCAGATAGATAAATCTAAGAGATCCGTAAACTCCTAAGTATCTGAAGTCAATGCAGTGAGATGTTGAATAAAAAAGCTTTTGGTCAAGGATATAATGTCAATAACATAGTGTTCAATTTTGGTACAAGTCCACAGATGGTTAAAGGTTTCATAGGTATATAAACATCTAGGACAATTCTATGATTGGTCATATAGATTCGGGTGTCTTATTTTGAGGATTTCAAGAGTAGAGAGCAGTTTAAGCATAAGCTTAGTTTTAAATTTGTGAATGGAAGAGGCTTTGAAGGATGTATAGGAATTGTTTTCATTGTCATTGAGAATGAAAGAGGTTCGAATTCAATCCACATTCATTGTACTGTATTTTTTAAAGTGGGTAAGTAGTTGTATATTATAAAAATCGATTGAACTGAAAATGTCTTTCACGAACAATCTAGGTGGTATAAGTACAATATTCTCGTTAAAATATAGATTATAATAGTGTCCTAGAAAATTGTTATTCAGAGTAATTGGGGGGCCATCAGCTTTTGCTAATGTATCAATTACATTATTGTAATGATCATCTGAGTGAGCTTTGACTTTGTGAAATTTAATGGAAATGGATTTTTCCTTGATTAGCTTTATGACAAGAAACTAAATTGGGTAAAAGAAGATTTTGAAAATGAGGTTAAAGGTAGGGGAGAAGGTGTAGAAGTAGTTCATTTTATCAAAAGATAAAATGACATTTTGTGAGTCTGTGAAAATATTGACAGTAGCATTTATGGGCGCTACATATATAGCAGATAGTATACCTACTAGTTCTGCTAAAGAAGATGAAGGTTGAGAAAGGATAAGTGAAGCATTAAAGGAAAGTAGAGGTGCTGAAGGATCAGATTGCAACCAGGCCACACCTATACGGATCGAAGAAGTACCTAAATTGATAAAAGAACCATCAGTATAGAACGAGAGGTGAGTTGATTGTATGAAATGAGATTTAAAGTTGTCTAAACTATTGAGGATTTCTATATTAAAAATTTGTACAGGTGTTAAGGATGAACAAGACAAAGTGGGAGGAAGATTAAGTGTACTATTATCTATTAAATTGTAACTATATAAAGCAATTTCATAAAGCATATAAGGAGATAAAGAACAGATATGACTAACATTTGAGAGGAGGGGAGCTTTGATGTCGGCACATAAATGCAAAGGTAACATCATGAAGCATGTTTCCTGTTTGTTTCTCATATTAGAAGGAACAAAGGAAAATCATCATTAAGAAAGCATTTAGTGCATGATACCAGAGAAGTTTTGAAGGTATGGTCTGGTGAGGCAAAAAAATATTGTAAGTGAACTATTTCATTATCGATTCTGAGTATTTTCCTGACTATGGCAGAATGGCAATTTAAGTGCCAGCCCATCGCAAAATGTGTAGTACTTTTGATATGGGTTGGAGGAATCGAGTATATGTTATTGGTGTGTGGTCGATGATAATTTGAAGGAATGATTCTTGTGTTCAGTGATGATATACGTAATGATTGTAATTTGAGAAACCAAGCAGGAGCTTTGGGAATTGCCAGACGAGCTGCAGAAAATTTGAGGTCAGGTAATGTGAAAAGTGCTGCACCATCTGATGTTGTAAT